TTGTGGAGGAAGGGCAGAGTCAAATTGACCACAATGGTTTGGAGAGAGTGACTTCGACCCAAGAAGGTGGCGATGTGACTCTCTTATGTATTTAGAAAGGAAGAAGGGAAGAAGAAAAAGTGAGAAACGAGGAAAAGCGAGAGACATGCAACAATGAGTGGCGTCTCTCCACTAAGCCAAGGATTTAAAAAAAAAAAAAAGTCAGAAGGCGAAGAACCACTCTATCTTGGGGTCAGGGCCCTCACAACGATGGGTCTCTCTTTTTTACTGATTTTTGGTTTTCCGGAAGCGGATTTTGGACATTTTAAGTGGGTCTAAGTGGATCAGGTGGAGTATTGATGGAGATCCCGGTAACCAATCAACTGAGCACGTGGGGGCAGTATCTCATTTGTGATTGTCACCGCCTGCAGTTTATAGTAGATCTTCGCTTTTTTTTCGCGGGGGCGAATTGAATATTCCTTTTGTACATACAAAGTAGTAGGATATGTGTACATTAATTTATATACATATTACATGATGTGAATAGTATGGACAATTATGAACTGTACTCCGTATATATCCATAGATATATATAGCATCTATGCATTACTAGACTATGCAATACCAATGGGATGCCGGACAAAAAGTGGCTACTTTCTAAAAACCTCTATCCAAAGGTATATCCTTTTATCCCACTTTCACAGCAGACTTTCCGAGGTAATTATTTTCCCTTTTCCTACAAAAAGTCGAACAACAACTCCATATGGGACATAGTACGGACCGCATCTGGCCCCATTTGACGTAGTCGAGAGAAAATCCGCTAAACCGACCCCCGGCATCCCGTTCTATGCAGGGATCTCTGACCAATCAGAGAGCAGCATTCGACCATGTGCAACTCCATTCTCCGCACCTTCCCTCGAAACCTGCACCCTTACCTACAACACGTGTTATCACGTTGCGTGTCACTGTCCTACATTCCGATCTATCCGACATATTTGACTGAGAGATGAAATGATTTATCATCGATGCGAGTTACCCAGCGAAAACTGCTTCGATTGAATCCAAAATTGTCTACTATCGACCATATACGACCAATTAACGCGTCCAAGATCGACCCATGCAAGCATGGCTATCTTAAGAGCTTCAAGGATTCTTGGCTAAAGCTTGCTTTAGTTCAAGATCAGCCCAGGATTACCCCCAAGCAATTTGGAAGGCTTGTCAAGCAATAAGCGCCCGGGCAAAGGCGTTGCCAAGTCAGCTTCTACAATGCTTGGTCCTGCATGGGATTTGCTTATAGCACGCACGTGCTCATATCTATGGTCTGTCGCAAAAATCATTTCTCTTTTTTTTTGGTGGGCGAACCCCGAGGAAACTTTTGTACTCCACTCAAGCTGTATGATATACGCCATGATATATGCCCTGCAGACCAATTGGGGTGGTTTTCCCCCTATTTCCACTTTGGTTTTTCAGGGGCGCATTCTCTACTTTGTAGGTACAGAGTATATGGGCATATTTGGTGTGGATACCTGGATCTCCTGGATTGGGATATCTCAAAGTCCCGATGACTTGGATTATTTTATTGTTAACTGCTCTGGAATTCCGCCCTACAACGCACGATATTACGTCCCTTGCATGCTGCATACGCTAAATGTCTTCTAGAAGAACCTTTGTTGTCATCCTGTTTCCACGACGTATGAAATGCATGTTTTGCAGGAATTTGTCTCCAGATGTTGTGGATCGTATGGTTTCACGGGTACACGGCACTGCATTATACATATTTAGACACTTGACTAAGTAGGAAGGTATATAGTGTTTTAGTATCTTCACCAATAAATCCACTCAAACGAACCCGTGGGCGTTCAAAATACTTCAGAAGCTTAGTGGTCAGATCCCACAGTGCTTGTTTTCTCCTTCCCATCTCGTGGCGCGTCTAGACCGGGGCATAACGCCCTGCAGCTACTAGATCTGAAATGTATTGGAAGAATTCCACCAAAGTACAACATACGTTGGTGTTCTAACACATCAGAACTAGGCACTTTCCAAATTTGGGTGTTGATGAAGCCACTACCAATGTTTGACTTTGGTTTCATTTCTCGCATGTCTCTTACTTTTCGAGGTTGCATATTAGGTTCACGTGGTTGTCTTACTTCCCCCTATAGGGCCGAAAAGCTACGTTGATGGCCTAGTAAGTGGCGTTCTAGCGATGTGATTGGAAGGGATATTGAGATATTTAATGGAGATCATCCTACTGTGCCATTATCGACGTCGTCTGATCTATGTTGTATTACATCTTCTTTTTGTGTAATATCCTACATATGCATGCTTATCTTTTACCCAACAGGTGATAGGTAAATAAAGTACATAAGTATCCGACATATCAGCCCTGAATTTCAACTCGACATTTAAAGTTGACCATATACCTAGGTAGGTAGCCCTGGAGGTGTACAACTTCCTGTGACTAATGCACCGACAACCTTAATGTCATCTCCGATATCCTAAATAGGTCTACCTAGGTCTACCGAGGTATAATGAGAGGGCCACGTTGAGCTGAAGGGTTGCAATGTGAGATAAATTGAATAGCTGAAGAAGCAAGAACCTATGAGGCTACGGGAAATAACACGAGAACTATCACGCACTATCGCTTGTCCAACTACACAACCGGGAACTCTATAATTCCGTCACGGGAGGCAACATTTTATGAGCTTCGAGTGTTACACGGATAACAAACCAAGAGAATTAGGAAGATGACTTGTCTTTGTGTACTGCTCCTGTTTACACGTTGATCCATTCTCCCCACCTTGGCAGCATCTATAGAGCAACCCACGGTGGTAAATTATCTTTAATTACTCATGTTCCCTATTCCCAATAACAGTGAGCTGGCCAAGCTGTACTCTTAAGGCTTTGGGGTCGTATTTCCAGAATGAAGTGAGTTATTCTACGTGATAGATGGTAGATAATGGTAGGATAACTAAAATGAGACACTTTGAGCTGACAGTAGTGGAATTATATGCTCATAAAATAGAACATCTCTGGGTGTTTCTATGACATATATATTTCTTGTTGCTTCCAGTATATATCAATAATCCGAAAATGACAATAGTTGTTATGTGACTTCACCCTTTGACGAACGTCTATATAGCCTGTTATAGACGTTTAAGAGATGTAATACAATTAAAGATGTCTAGGTGGAGATGATATCGATGGATCTCCTCCACCTCACATTTACATTGTTCGCGAATACCTACGGGCGGATATAGCGGCACATCGAACCACTGGCATTTGATTGGCTAGACGTACTGACTAATTCACCGCCCGGGGTGCCGAGGTTCTTCCCGAGGCCTCCGCCTGGTTTCCGCGCCTCCCGGTTTCCATGAGAATAATATCCACGGATGGATACTTTTGGTTTTCTGCCAAGGTTCTTACCATTCTTTAATATAATTTAGTCTTGCCATAATTGTGGCAAATACCCAGTGTGGTACTAATAGCAAATTGTACGATATCGACATTGTCCGTAGAGAATATGTAGCTTCATACAAGAGGGCTATACCTGACATATATATACATGTAAGCCTAACACCGATTTCTGCCTACTATCAAATCAGCTTGAAGGGAAAGAAAAGAAAGATGCGTTACAAGTTGTTTAATATGTTAATTCTGAATATATGATGTAAACATGTAAAGAATCCTGAAAAACACCCCACATAAATATAGTATTCAAAACCCTAATCATTCTGTTTGCTTCAAGCAGACATGTAGTTACTAATTTTTATAAAGATTGATACTAGGCAATTGAAACTTCATTTACACTAGATATCTTCCTATATCCTCCCTAGCTACCTTTTGAGTATTAAGAAAATTGAGATTATGATTATGTCGTGTTGAAGTGCCTTTCGTATTGAGCTGCCATTACCTACGGAGTAATCCTTACCCTTTGCTAATCTGATTTGCCGAAATTATTCCAAGATTTTCTGCCATGTGAGAACCAATCAACTACTAGTTGTCCAAAGTGCCGCTATATCCCTCCGTACAGGAACATACCTACGTACGCAAATAGGTCGGATCATAGTGATAAAGGCTCCTTATTCTTCGGTATTTATCATAATAACTAAATATTGTTCGTGTTGATGAGGACATTAAAGGGCTTAGTGGGTGTCAGACTGCCCAGGTGCGTTTCGAGCCTATTGAGCCGAAGAATCTAGTAAACGGCTTGAGAATTTAAGGATTTTGTGTCGAGGCACAACGGCATTTCCAGAGATATCGAACCATTCTAGGAATTGGCAAAAGAGCACGTGCAAAAGGCGCCAATCTGGGAAGTGGCCAGTGCAATGGATAAGAATGAACCTCCCCCTGCCGCTGACGTCAAAGTTCTTGGGACCTACTATATATAACCCTGACAGACCCCTTCTTCTCTGAGATTTATCCCTTTAAATCAGCCCATAGATAAAGATTCATATTTAAACCAATTCATCAAGCCCAAATCTCACGAATAAAACACATGTGCAATGTCAATAAAAAACAAGGGCGATGTCGACCTACAAGATCCTTCGTGGCTGGCAACATTCTGAACATTCCTGAAGCGGGCAGGACCATACCCATTCCCTTCCCGCCCAGCCATCATGCCTGGGCTACTCCGTAGTTTACTTACATTTTTCAATAGTCAGCGAGGCCTTCTACCCGATCATGTGTGATGCATGCATTCCATGGGGAATCAAATTTCGATACTATGCAGAACTGTGCCTCCGCCCTTTCTAACAGCCCACGTCCGGAATGAAGCCATCGTGAGAAATCCAGATCCCGATCATCCCAAATGTCCCAATTTCCAGTACGGTATGTATATAAGGATCGTGAAGAGGGCAAGAATCGCAGATTCGGAGTCTCATTGAATATCGAGTTACATCATCTGCTGAGGTTATACCATTACCAACAACAATATCACCTTCCTTTAACATACTGCATACTGGATCCAATTACATCTTGCAGGAATCTAGCATTAGACCAACACACACACCCAATTCACCATCATGTCGGACCTCAAGAGTCTATTCCCGACGGTGACAGTGTTTATCGCATTTATAATCACCATCCTATGTCTCTTCGCAGGGACGCAGAGAAACTTCCTCTATGATGTGGATATATTGACAGTAAGTGCGATCGCCTCGAACTACTCTATATATAAGTGGCAGATAGATGCAGAAGACTGACCTGGCCCTATCCATTTAGCTTCGCACACCTACGGGCAGCATCGGCATTGGAGTCCACGATTTCTATTCCATCCACATCTTGTCTCACTGCCAAGGAACATTGGGAACGACCGAGACCGGTGTAGAAATCTCACGCAACGTGACCAAATGCTCGAACCGCACGCTTCTATCCCCCTTTGACCCGACAGAGGCCTGGGCGAAGGATATCACCAGCTGGGGACTGGAGTGGCCGCGCGTGATCAGCGATGACTTCCACGCTTTAAGACTGACAAGCAAAGTCATGGGCGTCCTGTACTGTATGGGGATTGGAGCAATGGGTGCTGCCATTCTCGTACGTGCATGGACAGGTCTCGCTCCACGACCAGGCCAGGGCCCGTGTGAATTTTTGTTTTTCATAGTGAGTTACCTGAACACGATCTGATTGTGGGATTGACCCCCCTACATAAACTCTGTGCAGGAAGTATACTTCCTAGTTCAGCGTGGTGCATTTTCGGATATCGCATTCCCCAACATGCGATCGGTGACTAACATGGGAATCATTAGCTCGGATCCATCACCATCAGCATCGCATCCATAATCGCAACTGTCATCGCATTTGAATTCGTCGCTTTGATTAATGCTCACGGCAAGGGCTCGAACGTGTCAGCCCATTACGGAGAGAAATTTCTCGGGATGACTTGGGCCGCGGTGGGGCTGTTATTCACCGGTAGCGTTGGTTGTTTTGTGAATGTCTTTATTCACGAACGGACTGCGTATGCGCCTGCGCCCGTCGAAAAGGATATAGAGGGGTAATCAGCGAATCCCCCCAAAAAAGAAAACTTACAAGGGAGCGGTGATGTTAGCCAGTCAGAGAGCGCAGGTTTCAGACGGGGGACGGAGGTCGGGGAAACTCGCACAATATTTTGAATATACCAATTCCATTCCATAGAGAATAATGAATCAAACGATGCTAACTTAGGACGATATATCGCGCAACCAATAGAGAATATTCAATCTAGCCAATCTGACTAACTGTTTCAAGCTAATTTGCAGAAGTTGCCAATCCGGCCACTTGCTTTTTGCGGGATATCTGAGGGTTATGGTATTGGGCCAATGGCCGAGCCCCGGAGGTACCGCGAGGGTTAGGTTCCCCCTAACTTCCAGGGGCTAAGGGATATCGGGCAGTGCAACCAGGCAGCCATCTCCGTCTAAGTATCCCGTACTCCGTACTTTGTAGGGGGGCTAGAGCATAGAAGACAATGGATACACTTCGAATCCACCCTGGCTTTGATAGGGGGGTCCGGGACTACATAATGGGAAGGGAAAAAAAAAACTGGGTCGGGGGGCTGTCAACCGTTCATCCGACGTCACCACATGTGGATATATCAGTTGGTTTTCTATGAGGATCCAGAATAGTCTTGAAATGTCATGAAATATCCTTGAATATCCTTAAAGAAATCATTATACCTCAAACCAATATACTCAATAATTATCCCCGTATATGGCTCAGACTCCGAGGACCACTGTACTCCGTTGCTTTTTCCCGGTTTGTCGGCTTGGTTTCTCCGAAGCCTACATTTGCCAAGATTCCTGTCAAAGCGCGAGAGGTATTGACGAATCTGAGCGGGTTTTCCCGGTGATTTCATTTCTTTGTTCGCCGGTGAGTGGTTCAGGCTCTTAGGAATGCGCATGCAATGAAGTCTATAAGGCACTCAAAAAGGTATAGTGTATGTTCTAATATGCCTCTACTGCGCGGTAATTGGGAGTATATGGGGTTGCACAGACACTAAAGGAGGGGAGGGAAAGAGGAAGTGTAACATCTCTCGGGTCAATAACCCTCTCGTTTACAATAATAGAGGGAATTATAGAAACAAATAATTAGAATATAATGAAATTATCCCAAAATAATCGAATTATATTCATGATGCTCTCATGTTCCAAACAAGGCGGAGACCAGTCCCGTAGCCCAAATATCTATGAAGTCATCGTCATATTTCTAGGATATTCCAAGTATATACATAGGGCTTGGATACTTCCTTCCTTTCCCCCTCTTACTTAAATACCTGCATTTTCCCCCTTCGATTGGAAAGAGCAACTTAAGCGATATACACTTTATCTACTACTTCTACTTCTACCTCTTACCTCTTACCTCTCTCTACCTCTCTACCTCTTACCTCTACTTCCCTCTTCTACTCCCACTTCCACTACTACTCTTCCACTTTTAATACCCTACAAACATGATGGAGAAGAAAGCTATTCATTTCGGTGGTGGTAACATCGGCCGTGGCTTCGTCGCCGAGTTCCTTCACGCTGCTGGCTATGAGGTCGTCTTTGTTGATGTCATGGATGCCATCATCAATTCCCTACAAAACACGAAGTCCTATCAGGTTACCGAAGTCAGTGATAAGGGTGAGACTACCAAGACCATCACCAACTACCGTGCAATCAACTCCAAGACCAATGAAAGCGATGTGATTAACGAGATCGCAACCGCCGACATTGTAACCTGCGCCGTGGGCCCGAACATCCTCAAGTTCATTGCTCCCGTCATTGCCAAGGGAATCGATGCCCGCACCAACGCCACGCCGCTAGCCGTCGTTGCCTGTGAGAACGCCATCGGCGCCACTGACACACTACACCAATTCATCAAGAACAACACCGATCAGGACCGTCTCGACTCTATGTCAGACCGAGCCCGGTTTGCCAACTCGGCCATCGACCGTATTGTACCCGCTCAGGCCCCTGACAGCGGTCTCAACGTGCGCATCGAGAAGTTCTACGAATGGGTCGTGGAGTCGACACCCTTCGGCGAGTATGGTCACCCAGATATCCCAGCTATCCACTGGGTTAGCAACCTAGAGCCCTACATTGAGCGCAAGCTGTTCACCGTCAACACCGGTCACGCGACTGCAGCCTACTATGGCTACAATGCCGGCAAGAAGACTATTGCCGAAGCCCTCAAGGACTCGCGCATCCGCGACATTGTCCGTGATGTGCTTCAAGAGACTGCCTCCCTCATCGTCGACAAACATGAAATCAGCGCTGCCGAGCAGCAGGAGTATGTCGAGACCATTATCACCCGAATCTCGAACCCCTACCTCGAGGACAGCGTGGAGCGTGTGGGTCGTGCCCCAATTCGTAAAGTGTCCCGTAAGGAGCGCTTCATCGGCCCGGCTTCCCAGCTGGCCGAGCGTGGCGGAAAGTTCCAGTCACTGATGGGCTCCTTGGAAATGGCTCTGCGGTTCCAAAATGTGGAAGGTGACGAGGAGAGTGAGGAGCTGGCCAAGGTCCTCAAGGAGAATTCGCCTGCCGATGCTGCTGCCCAATTAACCGGCTTGGAGCGGGATCACCCTCTCTTCCCCCATGTGGTCAAGGTCGTGGACGTCGTACAATCCGACACAAAGTAGGCGTCTTCCTCCTCATACCAGCCTCAAAACAACATCCTAACTCCGATTTCTTTTTTTTTTTTTCAGAGAGGCAGGGCAACCGCGCATTTGATTTCGCTTTGACTGAAATTCAACTTGCATGGGATATGGCGAATACCAGGTACACGGCGCGATGGAGAAATGGGATCAGTGCTTTTAATATGACTTCACGAATTGTAGTATGAATAGCGAATGGACAATTAAATATTTTCAATCCTTTCCTCTCTAAAAAGTAACCTCACAACTTACTATCAACCCAAACAGGCTTCCTCTTCTCCACAAAAGCCCTAAGACCCTCCTTAATATTCTCTCCTTCATACAACCTCTTAACCCAAGTGTCATTCAACATCACTGTAGCCTCATCCGCCCCAATCCCTTCCCACCCCAACTTAACTCCTTCGCGACTAACAAGCACCGAATCAGGACTATTCCCCGCAATCTCACCAGCAACCCCCAAAGCCTTCTCCAAAACAGCCCTACCGACCTCCTCCTCCCGATCCGTCTCGCTAACCCCCACCACAGAATTAACAAGGCCCCACCTCTCCGCTTCCGCAGCCCCAACCGTCCGCCCCGTAAGAACCATCTCCATAGCCCGCTGCTTCCCGACAGTTCGCACCAATCGCGGTAACGCACCCGCAAGAGCAACAACTCCACGCTTCACCTCCGGCAACGCAAATACCGCCCGCGAAGACGCAATCACTATATCGCTGTTGATGATCATCTCCGTGCCGCCGCCGAGACAGAGTCCGTTCACCGCGCAGATCACGGGTTTCTTGCCTTTTCGTCGGGCTAGCCCGCCGAACCCGCTATTTGGAACAGGGGTTATGGAGGAAGAGCTGGTTGCTGCTGATGAGGTGCGGTTGTTCCATTCTGGAAGTGGGGTTAGCGGGGTCAACGGATGGATTGGGGTATTTGTTTTCGGGGATTGGGGATTGGATTAGTATGCTTTTTTTTTTTATATTGATGCATATTTATGAATGAATGGCTTGTTGGCTTACCTTTTAGATCAGCGCCGGCGCAAAACGCCCGTCCCTTTCCGGTTAGGATGCCCACGCGCAGGCTCGGCTCTTCGTCGAGCCATTCCCAGACTGCGTGGAGCTCTGCGTGGCCTTGGGCATTTATGCAGTTCAGCTCGCGGGGTCGGTTTAGCGTGACGAGGAGGATGTGGGGGGCTGGGAACGTGAGGGTTGCGTGGACTGGTATTGGGGGTTGGATTGTGAAGGGTGGCATTTTGATTTTATTGGGTGAGGATTTTGCTGGGATATTGGGGTTGAGCTAGGAGAGAGGATGAGTACGAAGGAATGAAGGAAATGATATAAAAAACAACAGGTGATCCTCAGGAGTTGGGGTTGCTCGTAAATGCGGAGAAGCTATCCTGGGCATAGATGCCGAGGGCCGATGAGTGTGGGGATGATTACTATACTCCGTACATATGTACTACATATCTCACTTTGGTGGAGAATGGCTTTGGGAGTGATATTTATTGACTCTTTTCTTGAGACCAGGTAGATGATAAGTCTGTAGGTTACTGCCATTGTACAATTATACGAATTACAGGTGTTATTCTACCTGTGACTTATGTTGACAAGTTCCAAGATCAACTGTCCGCCCCGTCTCCCAAGTTCCCTATGGACGCCAGAAAAGAAACGCCCCCGAACAAAATCACAATTAGATTTGGATATCAATAAACTAAGAAGTGATTACAGCATGTAATGGATCTGGCGCACCTACGCCTTGTTGATCCAACCGCTGTGTACCATGAAATCATAAATTCGGCTGGTTTTGGTGCCCTCAATCTAACCGAGTCAGTAAGAAATGTGCATTTCAAAATTCGAGTGAGAAACATACCTTGCAAATTATCCGTGCATCTTTCTTCTTCAAGTTGCCGCCCTGCTTCATTGCTTCCTTCAAGAGTGTCTCCTTGATGACCAGATATGGCTTCGGCATCAGACGTAGAACATTGCATACCTCTGCTTCTTCCTTCGTCAGGAGGTGCAGGTCGGCAGCAGTTTCATTGTCCAGCTTCCACGGTGGCATACCGCTTAGCGGAGGCACCACGTATTTCGTCTTTACCGGCTGTGGGGGAGGGGCATCCCCATCGACAGCGAAGGCGCGATCGAAATCATTCAATGGTTCGTCGGCAGAATCCGCCGGCGCATGAGGATTGGCGGCTTTTTGCAGTCGCAGCGGCAGTTCGGGCGTTGTAAGCTGGATTGCTGCCGCTGGTGTCTCTGTGAGCTGTGTCTGCTTAGGGCGATTACTGGCAAAACGGTCAAATGACCCTTGAGGAAGCAGTCGTTGCACGCGCTGTTGCTTATCCTGCTCGTATTTCTCGCCTGCTTTCAGGTCACCGATGCCCATCTGTCGCCATTCTTGAAGCTGGGCGATAGCTAAGCGGAGGTTGTGCTCGTACTCCAGACCCTTATTGACGTCTTCAAAGTCCTTGCAATTCATCATACGTGCTAGTGGCTTTGCTTTGTTCAACAATTCTCGCTCTTCCTTAGACCGTTTCTTATCTAAGGCGGTGTTCTTTCGGTATTCGAGGAGGTTGTGCTCGAAAAGGATTTTCTTGCGCTCTGTACGAGCTGTCAGGCGGGAATTGTAGATGTCAACGACAGTCATCTTGAGCTCGGTCTCTGCATCTGGTTCGCCGTTTTCATTGAGTCCAGCCCCAGGCTCAAAGGTCATGTGCTGCACCGCTTCTTCGGCATCGTTCAAGAACTCAGTCTCAAACTCCAGTCGTCCCGGCATGTACCCCTGCACTTCGTGGCATGCCGGCACACTGGCGGTCGGCTTCTGCTTTGGTGTGGTTGGAGGTGCTGCCTTAGCTGCATCTTTGCGCTCTTCGATGCGTCTCTTCTTGCGCGATTGGAACTCTTCTTTGGAGATCGACTCCGGTAAGCTCCTATCGTCTGGATCGGCGCGATCCGCGAGCGGGAAGTTTGCGCTCTTAATATATGTGTCGTAGTAGTGATCTCGCACTTCATCCTTGCTGCGGTAGCCACCAATGTGGTCTGCGATGTCTGCCCAGGAACCCAACCCATAGATTTCGGCGCCTTCTAGCAATAACAATTCTTCGTCGGCACCCCAATCCCCCTGGAAGATGGGGACTGAGTTTTGTTCAATCACTTGGAATGGATGTGTGGCGGGGTCATGGTTTTTGGAGCTCTTTCCGGCTGAGAAGCAGGGGACACAGAGGTCGTATTCGGGGCAAGTGGGATGAGAACACGAAATGCGAACCTATGCGATGTAATCGCGTCAGTCTCTGAGTGAAACAATAGACTTCCAAATAGTCATGACACAATGGCGTTGATACTTACTGTTGATGTAACATCAATAGAGCACACATCGCAGTGGAACTTGGTGCCGGCTTCGGTGCCGCGCGAGGCGGTCTTTTTGCGTATCACACCCATTATCCCACTACCCCTTTCATCGCCCGCCTTGTCAGCTGTTGTATTGAGAGACTAACTAGACTCAAATGTCTGAAAATACTAAAGTTGCAGTTGACAAGGTGAGGTGAGATCTTCTGGGGTAGGTGTCTCCGCACTTCGGAGCGGGGAATATTCCGAAGCTTCGCAAGGATCTTGAGGTAAAACGATACAGCTATGATCCAAGCTGAATCTCAGACTCTCCTTCGCTCTGTGGAGTCAACTGCCTTGATTGTTAATGGCGTGGAAGTTGATGCGTCGTTGACCCTTGTGGCGGAGCAGTGGCTGAGGCTGATTAATTACTGTACCTTTATATAACTGGCATGTGACAAATTTGACCAATCAAACTGGTAATACTAGGTAACCTATAGTAAGCTACGTATTCCGATTACAGGGGGGCACTTCCCCTCTCTCATTCTCATTTGATCTTCAATCTCTCCGACTCTTTCTTATCCTTAGTTGTGCTTCCAACGGATTTCAAAAGATAGTGGTGGTTGTTTTTGTCTTGACTTCTCTCCTTTTGCGTGTGTGTGATCTGTGTCCTTGTGTGGCTCTCCAGATTTACTTTGGGGGCCATTCGCATGTTGATTATTGGGTGATTCTTAGCACCCTGCACACGCATTGCGGTCTCTTAGACTTTGATCTATTCTTCTCCTTGATCTCTTTACAACAACCGCCACTATGTCCTGGAAGCTCACTAAAAGTATGTTTACTGGCAGTTGGTCTCCCTCTCTCCCCCCCCCTCAATACCCCTCTCTGCGCTTGCAGTGAATGCCATGGGCAGTCGCTAATGATACAACTCATCTTAAGAGTTGAAGGAGACGCACCTGGCACCCTTGACCTCATCATTTGGCCGGTCGTCGTCTACTTCGACGATCAAGGGTGACTCGAATGGTGATGAGGCTGTGACACCTGTGGCCTCCAACCCGCCCAGTATTGCCTCCGCCACCCCCTCAACGAACGGCATCGGTATGTTCTCCTACTATTGGTACCTTTCACAATAATTAATCATTTCATCGCTTTGATAGCGGCCTCCGAGTCTCTTGTCTCCCCCCTGTGGCCACTGTGCCCCCAGGAATTCTCATTGTCACCCTCCACGAAGGACGCAATTTTTCGCTGTCACCTCACTTCCAACAGATCTTCAATTCGCATTTCCAAAATAACTCTTACTCGCCTTCTTCTCTACGCCCAAGCACTTCTTCTTCATCACATTCAACTCAAAACCAAGCGGGTTCCTTTGTGCAGTCCGGCCGACCGCAGTCCACAAGTGGGGGAATCAATGCGGCCCCCACTATCCACGGTCGCTATTCCACAAAATACCTTCCATATGCTCTCCTTGATTTCGAAAAGAACCAGGTCTTCGTGGATGCTGTGTCGGGAACTCCAGAGAGCCCATTGTGGGCTGGAGACAACACAGCCTTCAAGTTCGATGTGTCCCGGAAGACCGAGTTGAGTGTACAGTTGTATCTGCGCAACCCTGCAGCCCGGCCTGGTGCTGGACGAAGTGAGGACATCTTCTTGGGCGCATGCAAGGTCAACCCCCGCTTCGAAGAGAGCCAGCCGTATGTGGACGATCCGAAACTCAGCAAGAAAGACAACCAGAAGGCTGCCGCAGCTCATGATGAGCAAGGGCGTCAACTAGGCCAGCAGGGTGCTGAGTGGCTGGATCTCCAATTCGGTGTTGGTTCAGTCAAGATTGGTATTTCATTTGTGGAGAACAAGCAGCGGAGTCTCAAGTTAGAAGACTTTGATTTGCTCAAGGTTGTGGGCAAGGGTAGTTTCGGCAAGGTCATGCAGGTCATGTACGTGTTACACACTCAACATTTCATTATTAGGTTTCAAAATGCTAACAGTTGGGGAATTACAGGAAGAAGGATACTGGTCGGATCTACGCCCTGAAGACAATTCGCAAGGCTCACATTATCTCGCGATCGGAAGTCACACACACACTTGCCGAACGATCGGTTCTTGCACAGATCAACAACCCATTTATTGTTCCACTCAAGTTTTCGTTCCAGTCACCTGAGAAGTTGTACTTCGTGCTGGCATTTGTCAACGGCGGAGAGTTGTTCCACCATTTGCAAAGGGAGCAACGATTTGATATCAACCGAGCTCGTTTCTACACTGCAGAGTTGCTGTGCGCTCTCGAGTGTCTGCACGGCTTCAAGGTTATCTACCGAGATCTGAAGCCTGAGAACATTCTGCTCGATTACACCGGGCATATCGCTCTTTGCGATTTCGGTCTCTGCAAGCTGGATATGAAGGACGAAGACCGAACCAATAGTAAGATCTCCTCGTCACTCATGATAGGCCTTACATAGCTAACCAAACTTAGCGTTCTGTGGAACTCCTGAATATCTCGCTCCAGAACTTCTGCTCGGCAACGGCTACACCAAGACCGTGGATTGGTGGACTCTCGGCGTCTTGCTCTACGAGATGTTGACAGGCCTGCCTCCATTCTACGATGAAAACACGAACGAAATGTATCGTAAGATCCTGCAAGAGCCTCTGACCTTCCCCAGCAGCGACATCGTCCCACCTGCTGCCCGAGATCTTCTCACTCGATTGTTGGACCGTGACCCCGTGCGCCGACTGGGTGCCAATGGTGCTGCGGAGATCAAGTCTCACCACTTCTTTGCCAACATTGACTGGCGCAAGCTTCTCCAGAGGAAGTATGAACCCAGCTTCCGACCAAACGTGGTATGTATTCTTTGCCCCTGATCATGTATTGAATCAACATGTGGCTAACTTGATACAGGTGGACGCCCGCGATACTGAAAACTTCGATGTTGAATTCACCAGGGAGGCACCCCAGGACTCATATGTTGATGGCCCCGTCCTATCGCAAACCATGCAGCAACAGTTCGCCGGATGGTCATACAACCGACCTGTGGCTGGCCTCGGTGATGCAGGCGGCAGCGTTAAAGACCCGTCCTTCGGTAGCATCCCGGAATAGAGTTTTTAGCCGCGTCAAATTAGATCGAGCATTTCCGGTGCAAGAAAGAGTGAATAGGAGGTTCATAGAGACCATTTCCTTTTTTAACTGCGTATATGTCTTTCATTAACATATCCACCAATCTTGATCTTTTTTTTCCTTCGCTCTGTTCTTCCTCATATTGTTCGTTTTCCCATCACAAATTCGGAGTCCGTGGCATCTTGATATCGGAGTCGCTCCTGATCTTCGAGACGACATTGTTTCTTCTCGTTTCATACGCCTGTTGAGCGCTTTGATTTGATTTTATTGTCTTGTTCGGTTATCTCCCTTCCATTTCAAGTGTTCATTCTCTCCAGGCAGGTTCCTTTCTTACCCTTGTTTGCGTTGCTTTTTCTCAAGCGGTCATCGTCTGCACCCTTGTTCTGTATTCTCGATAAAACTTTACAATGGCCAATGCCAAAACAGATCTGCATCATGCATAGGCCAGATTATCGCTGTATTACGGTTGAAATATTTTATACCCTAACTTAGCCGCTGGAGTAGGATAACGCATCACCCAGCCCTTCTTCTAGTCTACTTGTGCGCAGACAGGCTTGATGCTTCTCATCTTTAGAGTGAGCACTTTTCTGCCTTTGCTGTCTCTCCCACGCAGGCAACGCCCACTTCATCATATACTCAGACCTCAGGTGTGAGTCTGCTGTAGGTCGATCTGCAGGTTCGAACGCCATAATAGCTCTGAGCAAGTCCTCCAACGCACGAACTTCACCACCTGCAATGTCCCACTCGCACGTCTGCTCCGTCTCATCACGGGCCATATCCCAAATACGCTGACATAGACGTCGGAAGACAGGAGTGCTGATACAGCGGAAGTCAGCGACCCACGGCCCATCTTGCTCAAAGAAGTCGGGGCGTTTATCCCAAGAGTTCCACCATCTCAAGGGCGGTTGGCCCAGTGTATTGACTATCTCGGCGACAATATCATCACGGTCTCAGGCAAATGTTTCAAAGAGCGGCCGCTCACCCAAGACTTCGTACAAGTTGACACCTAGGGTCCATATATCAGCTGCGGCGGGCTGAATTATCGGTTCGTGGAAAAAGTCTTCTGGTGGAGAGTAAAGGGCTGGGGTGTGGAGGGTCGGCGAGGGCGTCTGTGACATAATAAAGGATATTCCATAGTCCGAGATAATGATTTCCGGGTCGCCCAGCTCGTTGGCAGGCATGCACAAAGCCATGGGATAGATGGCATGTGTCGGTGCGTGGGGTTCACTGGGTGTTCCATCCACTCGCCGGATAGGAATCTCATAGGGTCTGTCGAAACGCTTGTATAGCTCAGCTGTACTTAGGCCGTCGAAGTGTGGTATGCGTAAGAGAAAGTTGCGCAAATGGAGATCTTTTTCTGCGATTAGTATGCAGGATCGGTAAACAGAAATTCACAGCCTAAGTGTGCTCACCTCCATGGCATATTCCGTTTGCATGCAAATAGGACAATCCTAAAAGGAGCTGCGCGGCAGTAGATCTAGCAGCATCCGTTGGGAACATGAAGTTTGTGCTGTCCTCCTTTGACTTAGCGATACTACCGCCAGCAGGCTCTCCGACTAAGCACTGATGATATCCATTTGGACTATGAAACGAGAATTGGTCAAGTAGCGGCGGAATAAATCGCTTTCCCGCATGATTAAGGTCACTCTTCATCAGGTAATTAAGAATTTCCCCCTCATGGCTATCTACTGACGCTCTCGCAGTCAGTATCTTCAGCGATACGTAGCGCCGGCATTGCTGATCCCGGGCGAGCCAAATTGTTGAATATCCACCAAACCCAAGCTTGTGAACGACGGTGTACCGGCCACTAGAAAAGGTGTCTCCGATGAGAGTTGGATGGTATCCACCAGGTAAATAGTCCTCAATGTATTCAACATCTACCTCAGGGTGGTAAATATCTTCCATTGACGAGTCAGCCATGGTATGAAGGCATCGAAATGGGTGTAGTAATGGGGAAACTCTGCGGCAACGGCTGGTCTTTGATGTGGATGGAAGTCGAGACAGGAATATATTCTGGTTTCGCCAACGGAAAATTGCGGTTTGGAAGGATGAGCGAGGGAATCTCCAACTAGGGTTCATGTTCATGTTCATAGTATGTACTTAGTATAACTAGTCAATATGTACCAATATAACTAAAACCCTCAATATGTAGTTACTCAATATCGTAGGAATGATTGTATAAGCAGGAAGGGGCATCCAGAGCTTCCTCTAGAACGACTATGCAATTTAATTCACGCCTCTAAGTAGTTTTCAGATACAAAGTTATAAATTCGATTCATAGGTATGACCCAACCTCAGCGACTGCTACTGTCGAAGACGAATCTTGGTAGCTTCCGGGTACCCGCAAACAATGGCCCACTTAGGCAATATTTTGTATTCTTATCTAGACGTATGTGCCGATTCTTCGTATGTCTACTTTACAAAAGCCTTTATTAACGTTCACGCAGCGATTTGGCTCATACAAGCCAGGTACATAGGCAAGCGCCAGGGGAGATCCAGCATAGTATGCATATACAATAATCTAGTAAATCAATGGAACCACTGGAAACTGAGGGAAACATATTGCTTGTATCTAGGCATGTAATTTGCTCTAGAGACACATGACAGCGAAATTACAAATATGAAAATGAAAAAAAAAGTCGGACACACGTTAAGACGCCGCTCGCAATCAAGAAGCAACTGACTGGTCAGCCAGAAAACAAACGATCAACCTAACTCTCCTGGGAAGTCGCCAAATAGAACCCGGTGCTTTTTGGTCGTTCACTCGGCTTCGGCAGCATCGGCCTCGTCCACTGCAGCCTTTTCGGCCTTCTCGGTCTTCTCTACCTCCTCATCTGCCTCGGTTACGCCATTGGTCGTGCTCACGGGCTCTTCCTCTTCATTGCCATTGACATCAATCAGGGACTCTGAGGAAATGGGCTCGGGGACGATACCCTCCTTCTCTAGGCGAATGTACTCATCCCACTCAGGGAAGAGATCGTCATCGGTTGAGGCGACGTCGGGGGCACCGGGCGGGACACCGATGAGGCGGGCAACCTTAGTCTTGCCAGATTTCTCTAGGGATTCCTTCCATTGGACAACGAGTTTAGGGGCGCTCGAGGGCTTGTAGGTCTGGGCGAGGAGGACTGCCTCAGCGATGCGGTTGGTTTGAATAAGGAGAGCGATGCAGCCATCGATATCTCCCAGAGACCACAGAGTGGAGAAGGCGATATTGTGAAGGCCTGACACCGAAGCCTGAGCAGCCAGGGCCTTGAGGCCTTCACGATTGTTGCTAGCAGTATGCAACAGTAGCAAAGAGCTGACGTCCTTGGCGTTGGTAAAGCACTCTTGGGCCAGAGCAAGATTCCAGCCAGCCAGAGCAGCATCACCGACGATCTTCCACTTGTGCTCGACGTTTGCCTCGCGGGCAATCGTGAGTGCGGTTTCGAGATCGCTCAGTGCAAGGGCCAGCTCGAAGCGGTGCTCGGGGTCCGTGGCGACTTCAAGGGCCATTTCCTTATATCCTTGACCTTCAAGGAAGCGGGCGACCTTATTCATCTGGTCTTGGGGCACATCCTTGAGGAGCTCAGAAGCCATGTCCATATCACCGCGCAGCACCACTGTTTGATATTCAAGCATGCTGAGAGAAAGGCTGAAGGAGACGGCGTTCACGTCCTTGTCCGCAAGGTAGATACGGCCATCCCGGGGCAGATAGCCAAGAACATACATCGGCTGGTCGAAGTGAGAGATTGTGTAGGTCTGGTCACCAACAAGGTAGTTCAGGCGGTTTGTAGAGTTGGTGTAGATGAAGCAATCTCCAACCCACTGTCCAGTCCGAACGGTCTCATTGATTGTGGCAACCAACTCAACAGCTGCCTCAACTCCATCCTCATCGGCTTCACCGGCGTTCAGGCCGTTGATATATTCCTCGCGAGAGTAGCGGAGAACGTAGAAATCATCTTCACAGGCAAGAGTAACCAGTTCGCCAGATTCAGACCAGTAGACCTGTGCGTATCAATTAGCATTGGTTCCACGTATCACGGCGGAGCAAATAACTTACGGATTTCGGGTCAGCTTCAATTCTCCGAACCAAGCTACCAGTCTCCCAATCAAAGAAGCCAATGCCACCTTGACCCTTCACACCCAGAAGAACACCATCAGACAGGCCTTCAGCTTGGAACCCAACATCAAGACCGGCGCTTTGCTCCTTGAAGTTCTTGAATATCTTGACACTTGTCGATGACTCGCGGATAGCATAGTCGTTACTGTTGTCCTTCGCACCCCAGGCAAAATCGAGAGCCTGTCCAAAGGCCTTGTTTCTCCACGCCAACGCGGTGTAGATGATGTATTCTCCATCACCACACACAGAAACAAAACGTCCATTGGCAGAGTGCGACAGAGTCTGCGGGTACACCTCGCACTGTCCCAAATCCTTTGTTGGTAGAGAAAGGGGCTCGCCGTCCTTGACAGCAGCATCGCCACCCTTGATCACTGACGACACGACCTCATTATGTCTCGCCCAGATAAGCTTACCAGATCCATCCATTGAGACGGCGGGCTCTTCCCGGCCCATCTTCACCACGACAGCACCATCGTCGAAACCCATCGCAATTCCCTGTCTCCCCCGCTGGTAGGAAACACACCACGCTCGTTCTAGACCATAGCTTAATGATTGCTCCAGGCGGTAGGTATTTGCGTGCCAAATCTTAACGGTTCCATCTTCAGAGCCTGAGATAATCACAGGCAGTTCGGGGTGGTAGCAAGCAAATGAGACATTGCTTGTGTGGCCCTCGAGGGTTGCAATGAGTGCCTTCGTGGTGTAGTCCCAAATCTTGACGGTCTTGTCGTCGGAGGTGGTGAGGAGGTATGGCTTATCTGCCTGTGGGTAGTAGTCGACATGGTTGACACCTTTGGTCTCGTGAGCCTCAAGTGTGAAGTTGGCATGGGGGGAACCGAGGTTCCAGATCTTCACGGTCCGGTCCAAACATGCGGAGGCGAAAGTGTTCGTATCCTTTGGGTTGATCGCCATGCCCATAACATAGTGGCTGTGGCCCTCAAACACTTGCACGCACTTCCAGCCCTTCTCCCAGTCCCAGAGCTTAATTGTCATGTCATCGGAGGCTGTGAGCACAAATGGCTGAGTGGGATGGACGGCAATCGAACGGATGTAATCCGGGTGTGCTTCAAAGGAGGTGATTTTTTCGGATGTGTTGTAGTTGTAGACCCGGAGCTGGAAGTCATCTGAACCGCAAACAATCCAGTTCTTCCGCGCAATGAATCGACCGGCACGAACGGGGACATCGGTGAGTTCGAAAGTCTTAATGATGGACTAGAGGGCAGGCAATTTAGATGAGATTAGGGAGTGTGAGCTTGTGTCGAGTCTTACCTGCGATTCATAAGACCAGATGTAGACATGGCCTGGACAGGAAAGTAATTAGCGCATTGGACATCTCGCATACTGCCGCTCCCCCAACATACCGCTATACAAGGTCGTCAAGATCTAAGAAAGAAATTAGTTTGAGCAAAGCTACCGAGTGAATTGTAAAAGCTTACCCAGGGTTCTGTAGGGTGGAAATCGATCCCCTTTACCCGCTCCGAGCGGGCAAACAGCTGCCTCTGTAACATTTCTCGTCAGCAATCCCTCCAATTGTGGTGTCCGCCTGCAAAATTGTATCGTCATATCCGCTAGATGGTATATCTGCAACTATATGAAGCATTTCATCATCTGCATTTGCGTACCTTGACATCGAGCCGCATGTTGTGTGGGGGATGAGACGAGTGTTTGTGTGATGCGGCGTTGGGCCTGTGACAGCGATCGGGTATTCCGCGAGCCGCTCAGACAGCCCGATGATAGGGGGGAACGATCCTCGGAGCAAGTTATTAATTGGAGAAATTAAGAAAGGATTGAAATGAAGAAGAGCTAGAGGGAGAGCGCTTCATTCAGGGACAGCAATGTATGTGTCCACAAGGGATTCCCGCGTTGGCTCACCGCCTTCCAGTCAGTCTATCCGCTATACAAATGCCCTACAAATCCATTGGCATTGACGAAAGATATACTAATTTGCTGTGTAAGATTGGTGGGATATAAGCTTAGATTCCAAGTAAAGTCTAGACAAAAAAATAATAGCTCAAATACTTTCGATATGCTACTCTGTAACTATATATATATATATATGTAATCATCGTCCAGATGTATAAACTTGAAACTAGAAGACCACCGGCCTCTATACTAGAGATATTCCTCAGTTGCATGGATGATTTCTTAAGAAAAGCTATTGATTCTGTTTTGTTGATCGAATACATAAATCATAGCCCAGTAGCTATACAACCAGCTCTACTAAGGTAAACTTCAGATGATTGAACCCTCAAAACATGTATTCAAACAAAGAGACCTCTAGTAGTAGTTACAGAGATTAAAATTCACACCTATTTCAGCACTGCTGTTTAGTTACCACGCTCGAAGTAAGTCCACTGGCCGGGTTGGGGCTTCTCCTCGAGTTCCTCCCACCTGTAAAACGTCAGCAGTGAGTCTAGGCCCCAAACTTGGAATTTTCACTTACACCTTGGCTTTAGCCAACTCATCCACAAGCTTGAGCTCTGCCTCTGCGACCTGGATGACCTCCTCAATAAGGCCGGCGCCGATTTGCTGCTCAACGTGAGAGATCCTGCGCAAGAGGTTAGCGTTATATTGCTTGGTTGTTTGGGAACAATTCAAAGATGCAGGTACACGTACTGGTCGGCATCGAGGGCAGGCTCGCTCTCCCATTTCATATCTTGGTGGTAGAAGTCAAACTCAGCCTTGTCGGTGGTCTCGCTGGCCTCGTTCATAATTTTAGCCCACTCCGCTTCTTGTTGCGGGGTACGGGCGGGACCCTCAGTTGTGGCGGACAGGCTTTCGCCATCCCATTCTTCACCACGAGAATTGTCGGATCCATCCCTCT